AAAATATCGTTTGCAAATGCTTAGTAGTCCATATGATCACTACGGGAAAGGGGTTATAAGGGAGGCTCTAGGAGGGAGGAAGAGGTAGGGAGAGGGGGCTGTCAGGGAGGCTCAATCAGGGACAACGACGAAGGAGAAAGAGAAAGACAATGGGAGGGAAGGTGGGGGGGAGAAGCACGAACAAGGGGGAGGGAGTGCGAAGGGAAGGCACCACCGAAGGGCCGCCTTGCACAAGAATGTTGATCATCGATCACCTTGTTCTAGTGAGCAATTGGTGGAGGAATTAGGAGAGATTGTGGCAGCAATAGAGCATAGTAGAGATCGTCAATGAAGTTTTGATCACGGGAGAAGTTTCAGTCAGAAAAGGACACAATGGAGATTGCAACCGTCGAGGAGAAATGTTAGTTGATGGCTAGGGTTTCTTCCAGAGATGTTGAGACAGGGGTTTTAGTTGGCTGAATTGGTTCACTCGAATCATCTAGTTCGAACCCAAATGAAACCCACAAGGTTTAACTTAGGCGCGCCTAAGGCCCTAATGCTTGGGCCACGCGAACTCAACCACTCCCATATCGAATTGGAGGTAGTCGAGCATCGCCTCTCCTTGCTCGGGCACCTAGGAAAGCGCTTGAGTGCCCCTTAATAACACTGTACATAACAAGTTTGGACTTGATCGAGTTTAAGAAAATTTGATTTTGGAGTTGACTCTTACCAATTCTAAGTATTATTAATTTTTATGGCTGTTTTATAGTGTTCTGGCAAAATATTTTTGAATTACATCACCGCCAACGAATCCTCCTTCTAGTGTAATTAGGGAATTTTAATCATTCATATTTAAATTTTGAGCTGCATATATATTACCATTGACAACCAACTAATGGATGAATGGGCTAGTTAGTTCCCATGTCCCCTTTTTGTGTGAAAATTGCTTCAGTTTATCATCCTTTTTTTTTGTGAATCATCCAATATTTTTTTTTATTATGAATACTAACTTATTTAGGATTTTGGTCAACAAAATGTGTAATGAAGGATCACAATCTCATAGCTGACAATTGATGAAAACACAAATTTCACCTCTCTCTCTCTCTCTCTCTCTCTCTCTCTCTCTCTCTCTCTCTCTCTTCCATATTCTCTGATATATATATTTTTTTTCTTATGTATTCTTTATTGTTTATTCTTCCATATCTGAACTAACAGCCAATTATTTTTTCTCTTTGCTTCTTTACCATTTAGCTTTAAAGTGCCATTTCCTTGCAACTCTATTCCACATCTGCTCGTCTTTCCCAATTACTGCAGCAAATAAGCAATATCCTCTTAAACAACCATCAAACTTTCTTTCCTTTTTTTGATCAGAATTAACATCAAACCTTCTGTTGGCCTTCAACATATTATTTGCTGTTCAACTTTCAATGAAAACAAAAGTGGATTTTCTATGCACATACAAAACCTGCATGCAACTATGTGCAATACCTAACATGTTTGTTGAAGCAAGTCCTAATTTTTCATCAACTTTATGGTAAATGATTTTCCTGATACCAACAAAAAGCAGTAATGTCCCAACATCTAATCCAAGATTCAAACAATGGATCTGAATTATCTTGAAATATAGCTAACTCTGAATTAGTCTTAATTAATTTAAATGAAATACTAGTGCATAAAATCCTTGGAAGAAACCTGCCAATTTTACTACTACATATATTTTTTTAACATTTAGCAAAGAAGAATAATATCTGAATATATGAACACATACAAATACATATATAGTTGACACTATCTCAAATCTATGGCGTCACCTAAAAGATATGCCAACTTCATATGATAATGCTAAAGGAAGATCTTCCAAAGAAATGCATTATAGTATCAATAAGTGAAGAGGAAAAGACTTTTAAGAACCACCAGAGCTACAAACATATAAGCTGTTGCCAATCTTTCCAATGATGCCTGTCATCCTATTCATACTATACGACTTTTCATCAAATAGAAGATTTAACAGTATGGAGATATACCACCGAAAGCCCATTTGTGAGACGTGGCGTTGGAATGCAAGAACTTCGGGTGCACGCGCGCCCGATCAAAATCATACGATTCCAGAGCAGCTGCAGCAAAAGAGTCACAAATTTGAAAACAGCAGAAAAAACTACAAAGAAGAACAAGGAAATAACTGAATTGTTCTGCATGAGAGGAAAGAAGAAGAACCGCGCCGGGCACGATGTAAAGGTCCTGAGGGTACTTCATATGTCCCAGCTCTCCAGAAGTTACGGCACTCGAGTGTGCGGTAACGCTGCTGCGCTTCCACCGGCTTCGGCACCGATGGATCTTCTGAATTGACGCCGCCGCCGGCCGGTGATCCAAGGAACACGACGTCGTCGTCGTCGTCGTCGTCGTCCTCATGGAAATCGCTTTTCGGCATCGAAAGCGCGGTAGAAATTAGAAGCGGACGAGATGAAATCCTAGGGTTTAAAACGAAGGGAATCGCGGAGTTGGGTGAGGTATAAAATAGAGGCAGAGGATCATATGACTCGCATATATTGCATATAAAAATAAACAAATTTCTGAAAACTCCAAAAATTCCGGATAGCACTTCTATTCAAAAATTTTGACAATCCTAACATTTTCAAAATAACAAAAATAATCTTTCCACAATTTTACATTTGCTTCTTTGGAACTACATCTTCTCTTTCATTTTAATAAACAAAAGTATCCATCTAACATAAAACATATATATATATATATGTCTAATCATAAATATTTGTAAATCAATCACATAATATGTTTGTGATGTGATATGATATATAGTTTTTATTTATTTGATATTTTTTATTTTATTTTACTTATTGCATGTATTATGATATTCATGGATCTGCTCAATAGGAATCGAATCGTAATGATATCACCATAATAACATCAATTCGTCTTTACACATACACCCTAAATAATTTCGGTCATAGGTCACTCAAGAGGGATATCGAGATGATCGGATAGATTGATATGTTGTATACCCATCCATATGATGGAGGAAACTAGTCTCGGAGCTGCTCATGTAAGGACACTAAGAATACCGCACAAGTGTTCATTAAAGAATAAGTTCACTGATTCATCTACTCATGGAATGTTGGATAGTTGATGATACCTCAATGTCAGACTATGATTCCGTCATCCCAATAGTGTATCTGATTCTTAGACTTAAGGCACTAAAGATGTCAAGTATGAGTACTTCACTCTTTTTTATGCCAGATACTTGGAAGTTCTAGATCTAGTACAATCGGTTATTGGGAGTAGCAACCAAACATACGAGAGATATTGAGTATCAATAGAGAATCATCCACTCTCGGTTTCATGAAAGGAATATCTCATATGTTTTTTCTCAAACAAATCCCTGGCCATGGTCATTCAGATTAAAAGAGAAAAAGTTCTCTGAAAGAATCTGATTAAAACGAGACTCGAGTAGAAACCGTATGAGCCTTATAACATCATGTTTGGTATACAGTCTCTGAGATATTAGATGGATGAGGGCTTATAAATACATGGTAATTGAGAACAAACAGATCAAATAAATTGAATTCTCTTATATCGTATAGGGACTACGGCGTAGTAACCTAATACGTCTGTAGTTGATAAGTCGAGTGAATTATTATTAAGATAATAATTCACTAAGCCAGAACGAGTTTTGACAAGTATGATTTATGGTCAGCTCGATATTGGGTCTAGAGGGTCATACATAAATGGTAACGAGTAGAGGTTCATATATGAGATATCCGTTGGAACCTCTATCTTATTGGATATCCAATAAGCCCTCGAATTATTGAATCTTATGGATGAGATCTAATAAGAGCTAATAATAGATTATTGGGTAGAGACCTTCTAATCTAAGATGCTTGGATAGTTAGATAAAGATCCAATATCCAATTGGGTAAGATACATTAGGGTTAAATTGACATAGAGCCTCAATAAATAGGAGGGAACCAAAGAGTCATATGCTAGACCCTTGGCTGTCACCTTATATTCTCCTCTCTATATCTCCTCCTCAGCCAATATCCCCTATTTAGAGCATGTGGAAAGCAAGAAGGGTCACTCCCTTCTTGATTATGTGGTGCATGTAGCGAGAAGATTTGAGTAGTGATTTAAGGAGTATCTTCGTATTTCTTGTCATGTGGATCACCACCAGAGAGGAAGATAGTTGACATCCTTCATTTTCTTTATAGATCTGCAGGATTTCAGGAATATACAATCTCCTTGGGTAACACACATTCTTTAACATGCGCGATTTTTTGGTTTAGCGTGGCTTTACGCACCAATCTTTGTACAATAATAAAATCTTTTTTTTCTGCATGAAATTATAAGATTTTTATTTTCTGTTCTACTATTGCGTATGTGATGTCACCCTAGATTTTCCAACAAAATCACCCTATATCTGTTTGGTGGAGTTATTATTGCATTTGATACATGTTACTTTGTACCTTCTATTACCAAAAATATTATTTCTATTTCATGTTTGATAATTAGTGGATATAAGTTAGTTTTTTAGAATAATGATTATTCAATTAGTGGATAAGATTATCAATCTTCACATATCATTGTCAAAAGTTTGAGCATCAAAAATTTCAAAAGATGTCTCATACCGATAAGACATGAAATATTACTTTCTAGGAGTATATCCCCAAATATCTTTGAAAAAATGATAGACATGGATATGATACCTTATGCCTTAGTGATACAATCTATCACGTATGTTATGCTATGTACCAAACTTAATATAGCTCATACTATAAGTGTTATTTGCATATATCAAACGAATCCAGGTTTAGAACATTGAAAAACAGTAAAGTATATCCTTAAGTACTTGAGAAGGACTAAGGATCTTTTACTGGTATATGGAGGAAGTAGCCTTAGGGTTGAGGACTACAAAAACTTCATTTTTCAGTTTGATATCGATGATAGTAAGTCTACTTCAAGGTATGTGTTCACCATGAATAGAAGCGTAGTATGTTAGAAGAGTTCCAAGCAATATACTACTATTAATTAGACCATAAAGACAAAGTACATTATATCTAGTATATAAAGAATTTGAATTGCCCCTATTACTATCCTTGACCTTAGTGTTATTTTCTTTTGCTATCCAGAAGAATACGTTGTAGAGGCTTATTATCAAAAATAATATCATTTTTTAGCATGGTTATAACACATTTTGTTGGATATGAAAAATTCTCTGCTCGGCCTCCTCCACCTCCTAAATTTTTTCTACTACTAGGGAATAGATAATATCTATGGCATTCATTATCATTTTCATATCCTGATAAATTTTTTTCACCCTCAAGATATTAGTATTAACTTATGTGGGGTGCAAATCAAGATAAATTTTTAAAATTTTTGATGTAATACATTACTAATTGATCTTCTTGTTTGAGGTTAATAAATTCTACGGTCCCATTCTTGCACCCAACCAATGACGGATATTTTTTTAGCATATAAGTTACACAAATAACCTTATCTTCATTTGGAATCATTACATATTCAAATATTTTCTCAATATTTTGCATCCACTTCTCAACTATTGGTAGATATGTATCACCTTTAAAGATTGGTGGATCATTTTTTTCTAAACCTCTCAATTGTTAATTCTATAATATTATGTCCTCAAGCTACTATTGGCATCGCCACTTGTCTTTGGGTCAATAACTACTACACTTGTCTAGATTATTAGACCATAAACTCGGTTAGTCTATTAATCACAATATCTTTTTGATATATTTATATGAATGTTTCTCTACCATTAAAATTCTCCTCTCAAATATTACTAGAGCTACTAACTTACCCTATAGTCCACATGATATTTTTCTAATTAATCCCAAGCTGTTCATATCTAGTTGTGAAGTATAAGAAGATCAAATAATAATAAAAAAAAATCAATGTAACTTAATTATTAAAACCTAAAAGATAGTTGAACAATATACTTCGTGCTTTTACAAATATAAATTGTCTATATGACTCACAATTTGAGTTTAAAAGTTAAAATTAGTAAATAAAATATTTTAAGAATTTAAAAATAAAAGTTAATGATCAAATAGACCTTTCATATTTATTTTTAAATTTTATTTTTAAAAATGCATAAATATTATTATTATATCTTTTGACTTCATAATACGAATATTATTTTAAAATTTATTATTTGTATTTATTTTATTATTTAATTTTATAATTTAATATAATTTATTTTAAACCGACCTAAGTTTTAGATTGGTTGAACCAATTTAATTATATAGACTGGTTCATTAAAAAGGTGATGAGTGAAGAAGTAACTTTTAAGGGGGGGAAAAAAAAAAAATTATTTGAGGGTTACATTTATCATTTTAAAAAGATAGTGTTCTCTGTCAAAATTTTAATGAACCAGTCTATATAATTAAATTGGTTCAACCAATCTAAAACTTAGGTCAGTTTAAAATAAATTATATTAAATTATAATATTAAATAATAAAATATTAGAATTTTTGGAAGTTGGGATGTACTGTTAGAATTTCTTAAATTTAAATTTTTTTATGAATTCACCTTAAAAAAAAAGGATAATTTTTTAAATAAAAACATCACACTTTCCCACAAACTTGTTCACATAGAAAGTTCAGATACGTAGCTCAGTTTGACAAATGATCTGATTGATACTCGAAGAAAAACCCCTCCTCCTTCAAACCGAACCAATATTTAAGTTGAACCAAACCAATTCGCTTTCTCCTTATCCATTAGCTCAATATGATTTGTCCTCTTCCCTCTCATTTTAACAAACTACGGAAGCTACCTCTTCCAAACCCTAAAGTCTCATTTGGCCATCAATACAAGCTCTTCCCTCTTATCTTTCTCTTCTTCTTATTTTATTTTTTATTATAAAAAATATTATTACTCGATCAGATTTGATATTAGAGCTTTTTGGTCTAATAAAAATAATTTTAGGAAACTAAATAAAAAATTAATTTTTTTGTTTAATTATGAAAAGAACAACTGTTAGTACTTCAGCCTACTGAATATGCAAAATGAGATCAGCTTTTAGATTACTCGAATACCATAAAATATGGGATAAAAAGAATAACATAATGGATCTGTTTATTAAGCATCACATACATAAACTCTTTCAAGAACGCGATTACATCACAGTTGTCACTTGTCAGACGAGCCAAAATGGATTAAGATTAGTATATTATTTCTAATGTTCTACTCTCAGATCAGACCCATGCTGAATATGTTCGATAACAAGTATCATAATACTTTCGACCATGTATGTTTGGAGCTTCCGTAGAACAAATCCCTAGTTATCAGTCTGGAGCTTTAAAGCTGTAAGATGTGGTGTAGTGGTAACACATCCTACGGGACTGACTCACAAAGATGGCCAAGTGTTAGATGTGAAGTGCAAGTAAAGATCGTACTGTCACAACAGGATGAGAGTTGTCGGAGATAACACTGGGATAATAAAATAATACATGAAAAATTGTTTCGTCACCACCAACCTGTGGATCCTACAAAAAGAAGCTCCACTGAGTCAACCCGACCATGGGTAGGTAGGTTAGCCACCTCGCCTGTTAGGTTCTTGGTGTGGATTTACAAGGCCGATAAATTGGAAATTTATCATTTTTTAAAGGTAAATTCAGTGGGAAATTTTTGCAATAGATCATAGAGAAGAAAGCACAGTTCAGGATGTGACACGTGGTGGATTGACTTAGAGAAGAGAAGATTACGTAATTTATTTGGATTCCAGAATCATATTATTTTTAACGTAGTATACAGGGGATCTAATAATGTACGGAATGACACTTGCATGCTACTACTGGTTATCAACGGCGGTGGCCACAGCCACAGACCTCGTTCTCATATGGAGAAAAAAGCAACTGGATTCGGGAGATGGGTCACTAATCCATTATTATAGTAAATGGAAGATTTTGTAATCCATAGTATGTATTGTTCTACGTGGACTGGATTTAACGCTGCACCACTGTTTAAAAAGTCAAGATTTCTTGTTCTTTCCCACAATCCTTTCGCTTGGAATTGCCAACATTTAAGCATGGGATCCGACCGACAGAAACCAACATAACTCTCCCGATACAAGAGCAAGCCTGTTTCCAGGGTATTTATTAGGCTCCAGAGTCGAGTAACTTCCCTCGGTGATCTGAATTGATAGGAGTATATACAACATGCCGTCGAGAAGCCCTTTTCGGGTTCCTCCCTCCTCTGACTATGATGCCTTTCTCGCAATCCTTCTCTTGATTGCCGAGTGCTGCTTCTTGAAACTATAACCGCGGAAAGTCGCCTTTGGCTGCAACTTTTGGACGGCATATGACGTGACTGAAGACGATCAGACTCTTTATTCCTCGACTCGTGACTTGAGAGAGAATCTCAAGGGCAGGCCATTCTGGGGCAGCGCAAAAGGTCCAAACTGAATACCGCTTTGGTTTCCCAGCATAGACCACCTGATAGAGAAAGAAAGAGCACAGTTACGCATCATCATTGATCAAGTGGTCAACGGATGCAATTGTCCCCACGCGACATCCAACTGTTGATAGAATACAAGTGTTTGTTTGATGGTTTCGGCTGGGTTACCTGTATTTAGTCGTGAGGTGATGGAGGAGGACCAGCATCTCCAGCTTAGCAAGCTCATTGCCAGGGCAGGAGTGGGACCCGTTCCCGAAGGGCATGAAAGTGTTGGGTTTTGGAGCGACCTGCAGCAGTTGAACACAGAAAGAGAGACTGATTTGTCTGCAGAGGAGAGGGGAAGGAGATTGATTGAGATAGGGGGAGGCTGTCCTCCTTTGCCCACCTCAAATCTGGAGGGATCAAAAATTTCCGGGTCGGTGAAGTTATCCGGACTGTGGTGAATGTTTCTGAAGAGTGGCAACACCTTCCAACCCTTGGGAATGAGATACCCTGCACGACGAAGTACGGTAAAAGTCAGCAAACGAGACATCGGGCATGGATGGACAATCTAAAAGATACAAGTTGATGCTTAATCCACCTTCGTACTCCACATCTTCCGCCGCTTCTCTAAAGGTGAAAGATAGGACCGAAGCCACCCTCATCGTTTCCTGAATCACCCTGGAAGTGAATGGCATCCTCTTGGTATCAGCCCAAGTCAGCGATTTCTCATCATCACCCACTTGTTTGCTCTTCATAATTTCCTCTTGCTCTTCCTGAACATCACAAGAGATATCAAACTCTTGATGTCCGCTTTCTACTTAAACGAGAACACCGAGAGAAGAGAAGAGAAGAGAAGAGAAGGTTTCTTACGGTGACTGCTTGTAAGATGCCTGGATTCTCTCCGAGGTACTTCACGATCCAGGTGAGCACACTAGCAGTGGTGTCCCGGGCCGCAAAGATGACCCCGATGATGTTGTCGGCAATCTGGTCGTCCGTCAGGGCTTCTTTGGCTTCCATAAAAGAACCAAGTAGGCCACTGTCCTCTGTCTTCAACTTCGTCCTCCTGAATAGGACAATCTTGGCCACAATCTGTGCGAGCTGTTTCCTGGCCTTCATTGCCTTGTAGAACAGGGTCCCGGGTAGGTTGATAGGCATGGAGTTGTAGCCCTTCTCTAGGGTGTAGTAACACTGCTTCAGATCCTCTATGTAGGAAAGCTCATCTTTCCCAAAGATAGACAGCAGTGCCACGTTGAACGCGTACTGCACAAAAGCAAGGTAAACAAATTAAACAGAGATATGACCGGAAGCATCAAATCCTTTACTAAACAAGAGCGTGAGATATCAAAATCTGCATTTCCGTACCCAATTACAAAATTTAAGCACTTCCTCGTTTAGATCGCACAAATGGAAAAGAGTGAAACATGATAGATTTTCTTGGGTCATATTACCAACGGAAAAAGGGAAATCACAACATGAACAATCTCGTTGATGCAAGATTTATGATATTTCATGGTACTTACTACTACTGCTACAGAGAATAAACTTTCTGACATATATATATGTATATATATATATGTATATATATATGTATACACATCCTTTTGTGAAGCTAAAATTGATATTATTTAAAAGAGATCGTGACGGATTTATGCAAGAAGAAAGAGGGAGAATTGCAGGGGCGGGAGGTTCACCGTCTTCATTTCGTGGAAGGTATTGATCAAGCGACCGTCCCAGGACTGCAAGGCCCGGCGAGCGACCTCCTCAATGCCGGCGATGGAACCGCGAATGCCTTCAGGCTTCAACGCCCGGAGGACGAGGCGGCGGAGGCGGGCGTGGTAATCTCCGTGCTGGAAGAAGATAGCCTGCGGGCCCAGCATCCGCTCCTTGCTCGCGGGGAACGTCGGCTTGAACAGGTGAGCCCGCGTTACCAGCACGAACCTTGCCGCCTCAGGGCTCGACACCATCACGCAGGGACATCCTAGTATGTGTGTCTTAAACACGGGCCCGTACCTGGAAACACCACCACCACCACCATAAATATGAGCACTGGGTACTTGGATTCTCCGTTCGTTTCAGTGTTATGCGCAGTAATAAAAAGGGAGAAGCGAAATGGAAAACAGAAACGACGAACCTCTTCTGTTTGAGGGCGAAGAAGGTGTTAGGATTGTTGGAGTAGAGCTGAAAGGTCTCTCCGATATAAGGCCAACCCATGGTGCCCGGAGGCAGGGGAAGGTTTCCCGACCTGGTATGGAAAGCTCTCAAAAGCAGATAGTAGACGAGGCATAGGAAAAGGAAACTCAAGGAGAGGGACAGCATGAGGAGAAGCGTGGAGGCCATGGTTGTCAAGAACGCAGTCGTAGTGGGGGTGGCGACTAAAGCGGAGCTCACTCTGCCTCGCGGGGAGAGGGGAGAGGGGAGTAGGAGGAGGGTTGCTCGAGGAGGCAGAGGAGAGGGTAGGTGTCGCTCGTCGGGTCAGTGTGTACTGGCGAGGAGAGGGATGAAGGCAGGGACGGGTTTTATAGACGCGCAAATACTGCCGACGCACCCACGGAAATCGATTCCAGCTCACGTACACCAATCACCTCGGCAGCGGAACACAGGTTATATTCCTACCATGATGGGCAATAAAAAGGTGACAGCACCATTGAGGAAGACGGAAAAATCACAAGACCATGAAAAATAAATAATTCAAAACAAAACTGCATAAAACAAATGAGGATGAGTACGTGTGGGCTTGATGGACGATACGTGTCAAACCAGTTCCACATGTTTGACCTGCTAGTGGAGACTTGTCAGTAATTTAAGCCATGTAACACACCGAAACAAGACCGATCAAATTTCCTGCTAGAGTTCGTATGTTTGTTTTTTCCTCACACATTTATCATTCAAAACTTCTTTTTTAATACTTAATTAAAAAAATCATCACATATGTAATGGTTTTAGAGAATTAATATCAGATTATATATGTTAATGTTTTAGAGAATTGAGATATTTCGTTAAAAGTCAGTTAACAACTCGGGATTGTTTGAACTACTAATGGATTAGACTAACAAGTGTTCAATTACAATTACAATTTCATTCGGAGTAGTCATCTTGACTGGAGAACCTCTGTGAGTCGATCAGAGAGTGATATTTTTCTAGAAACGGGTCTATTTTTTTTAATTCAACAACACCTTTGCTATCTAAATCAAGTTGAGTCATTTTGAAGGGTATTGGATAATGCCAGTGTCCTCTCTCAATTGGTCGGTCCTCACTTGTTCGTCAGCCATCATGAGAAGAAGATGAATAAGCGATGACAACAGAAGAAGGAAGAGGAGAGGAAGTAGAAAAGGAGCATAAAATAAAAAAAAAAAGAGGAGAAAAAGAAAAAGAAGCACAGAAAGGAAAAAAATTAGAGATAAGTGAAAAAGAAAGAGAGAAAAAATAATAAAAGAAGAGTAAAAGAGAAGAAAAAAGAATTAATATTTTTAAAATTATAATTTTATAATAATAATGGTCAGAACGATGACTCAAAAAATCGAAATTTGTTTAACGACTACAAAATTAAGTGATCCAATTTTAGTGACATGTAGAGGACTCAAAAAATGAATGATGTTTCTTTCAGGATGTTGTGGTTTAGCAAAGAGGAGAAAATATTTTATTGATTTTTTCAAGTTTGTGATGGTTTCAGAAATTAGAACATAAAAATTCAAGAGCAAAGCTTAGTTTTAGTACTATTCTATTTAAATCAAACATTGTGAAGGTTTTTTATCAGTTAAATTAATTGGCACATTTATTATTGTTACATTCAGTATCAATAAATTACTAAAGTGATTTTTATGAGTTTGCATTATGCGTGTGACATCAAATCAAATCCGTAAAGAACCATGTCATCCACAAAAGAAAATGAGACGTTTGGTCCATTTCAAGGGATCTTTTCAAATATATCAACGAGATCCAAAAGTCAAATCCATATATGGTAGCATTTTGATTCAAAGGCGACAGCTCGGCAATTCATAGCCAATGCGTCGACGTCGACTAACTTCGCTGCCCTGCCAGATTTTGAAGGCAATTTTGATTGGATCTAAAACCGAGAACAAACGTAACGTGTCCTTCTCCGTGGAGAGCCAAGTACAGGTGTGACCATTCGACTCCGTTAGGAATCATCTCAATGTCCAACTTGATGTACGAGACCGTGGACGCGCGCAGCTTAGGCCCCTCGCAAGGACAAATGGGTATCTTCCCGACCATGCGAGTCGACATCTATCGGGCAGTTGGGAGTGGTACTCCGAAGAGTTTCCACACCACCGACTGATGTGTCGTCCCATCGGGAAACTCACCCCTTGCCGAGTAGAGAGAGAAATAGTAGGTGAATTGAGTGACTAACGCAGCACAAATAAATGTGTCTGCACAGTTGGAAAGGAATTTTCAAGTCGAATTCTTGGTGGTGCAGCGGTTCTCGCGATCAACTCTTAATGTCTGATTTCTCACAAGTCATACAAACTTCAGCATCATCACGTGCCTCTTTCGACTCTGACCAACCAATTTAGAAGAATTGAGACGGCTCGGTTGATAGTCAGATCAGTATTGATGCATCACTAGAGATTTCAGATCCATCAAAGTAGACTATGATGGAGAAGCGCATCTTAAGGGTCTCTGAGGACGGACTTCTTCTCATTTAGCCAAATTGACATGTTCACATTAGTATCATTCACAAGAGATTAGATTAAGACCAAAAACAGAAAAAACCAGAGACACAGAAAAAGCGGAGAAGTGAAAAAAAATTGGACAGAAACTCTATATATAGCAACTGTCAACGGCTATATCTGGACTACATAAAAACATATAAACTATCATGACCAAAAGTAATATTTAGGGCTCAACTACATCAAAAAATACCAGAGATATATATATTAACTTGTTGATTGTGCTAAAGCATATGTATATTTGAGGACTATATTATTTTATTTATATAAAATATTAGTACCTACAAACCATTTATACATAC